GGAGTCTGCCATTATCCAGATTTCCCTTTCTCTGACTTCAAGGTGTCACAGTTGCTCCTTGTCCTCTTCGTCATCTTCATCATTGTCGTCGCCGTCGTCGTCGTCGTCGTCGCTCCCCTTCTTCCGCCTCTTCCATCTCCTTTCTAGTCAGGGATCCGAAGCTCGGGAAGCGCTTGTCTCACAATTGTGCGATCGAAACAGGCGACTGAACCGCGATTAAATTTTTGATGCATCATTCTTGTTGCACAAACAAATGATTTGAATTCTTTATCAACACTTTAATATTATCGTCATTCGGTATGGACATGATTAAGTTATGGCCCATTTCTACAAGTTAAAAATAAATCTATATTAATTGTTTTATGTTATGTAAAATATCTATTCTAATATCTTAGAAAATTATTTTATTGAATATAATTTGCAATTCCTTCATTTCTTACTAACGGTAAAATATTTTTCAGCATTAGCTTGTGTAAGAGCAGAGTCGCGTATTAATATTCCATCAAGTTTTAAAATAGAAAAAATATCCATCTTTTATATCAATTACGTAAATTAAAGCGAACGCTGCCACGCGCTTTGACTATGAGTTTTTGCATCTGAAAGTTGCGAAGTTTGCACAAATATAATCATAATTTTCACGCGTCGCATTGATCATCGTTTAATTGAAAAACTCGTAAAACTTTGGAGAACAGTTTCGGAAGATAAAGTGAACTTTTCAGACGACGGATGCGCCAAGATCGTCATAACGAGTCGCGATCGTGTCAGTCGCGAAACTTTCGAAAAATCATTTCTCGATGGACATTTTCGAGTGAAAAAAATGCCTCGGAGTGTTCTCGTAACAATCACGATTAAATAAGATTCTTTTCCAAGTCACGATGCCTGAACAACGGAATATTGTACATCGCGCAAAGGGACGATGCGTCCGGGCGCGACACGATCAGCGCGCGAACTGAGCGTTCAACTCGGCGCGCGAGTGCCGTCTCTCTGCGGCTGCGGCCGGCGGCGTCTCTCCGCTTCAGGAATGGAGCCATCGCGAGCCGATCGTCGGTCCTTCTTTCTCTCCGCCTCTGCCCTTGTGTGTTCCACCACGGATCTGTTCTATGTTACTCCACTTTCCCCCCCACCGTTTGACGATGTGCGTCGTTCATCAGCGTTCGTAGATACGTCCTGCCAATGGTTGTTTCTAGTTCTTACTGATGTGACTTTCTTTGCAACTCTCCTCGGTGGTGAATCAGTGTTTTTCTTGCTTTTTCCCCACAAGTCCCCCGTGTCAATTTGTTGACTCGATCATCGTTCGTCCACAATGTTCGTCCACAGTGTACTTGTTCTTTCTCTGATACTTTATGTTGATTCATGTGGCAATGTTACCACTTGGCGAAATAATCTTGAAATTGAACTTTCTTGAGCCGTATCGATAAATCGTATCATCGTGTACATACGCATCAATGCATATTTCTGTGAGAATGACTAATAGGGTGAAAGCAATCCGTGGAAATGCGCTCTTTCGTTCCATTCCTTTCAGGATAACTCTCGAATCTATGATTTTGCGAGTAACGAGTTCTGGGACAGATATCTCGACTGCTATATGCGAAGATTAGCAGATAAGCATATAACTTCGTTTCCCAGTGTTGTTTATTAAATCTTGGATATATAAGTCGCGCTTCGAACATGTTTCTGTCGGAATTATTGCTATATTTACTCAAACAAAATGAGATTTTGCACATTAGCGTATGATATTAAAATTGCACTATTATTTTTATGACGTTTTGGTCTAAACGATTATGTTGATAAATATCGTAGCATTTTATCAATTTAAATTTTGGCATTATTGCATAAGGCAGATATTAAATCATTTTTCTACGCGAGATCGCAACATTGCGTTCGCATAGCGATCGCATAGCGATAAACAATATGTATTGCATCTTTCCTTGCGAGTTTGAACGGAAAACACACGATCTTAGTTAAAACTTCAAGCTCATGAAACTTTAATCACGGCTTAAAATTTTTCGATCGCTAAATGATGAATGGAGGAGTACTTTCGTTACTTCGCAATTCACCACGCGGAACTAATCGCGTAAAGGAGCCTCTTCGTCTTCCGTCATCAAAGGTCGACGTGGAGTGATTCGTTGCTCTCGAATAGATAATTGGCCGAGCAAATAACTCGTCCTGCACAAACTGTGCGTACAAAAGGCACAGCTATTTACAATGTATTGTACAACAGCATCGCGTGCGCGATTTACTACTTTCTCTGATGGGCTCGCTTTATAATAACGTCGGCGCGAAAGCTTTCTCGTGCGAGCGAGGACAAATGAACTTTCGGAAGTATCTCACAATCTGTCTTAATCTTCCCCGGATTTCGGTTCATCTCCGGTTTCAAGCTGGCTTGTCCATACATTAACGTTTTTTACGGTGGACCGAGTCATTTTATTATGCGAGAAATAAAAAACCTAAATTACTGCGATAATCTTAACTTTTCCATTTTCGCCCGCGGAAGATTCCTTCGCATCTTGCACGGTTCCTTTGACGGTTTTTTCTCCGTAAATCCCTGTCCATTTTACTTCTTTCCCCTTTATGGACATTATTCTCTCGTTTCTTGGGAATATATGAATTGAAGAGCGCGCCAGTTGCCATTGTAGTTATATATCTATGGATTAAGTGGATATTTTATTAGAACGAGATCAATAAATATTCGTTGAAAGTAGATTATGCTTCGATTTAACTCAGGAAGAAGGGGGATTTTTTTGCCAATCCATTTACTTTTTTCTTGGAAACATTGTACATATTTGGAATACTTATTTTTAAATTTGTAATGAAACATTATTCATGCAATGTATAAAACGTTATTCACACACATGCTTTCACAAGAATCTCTGAAATTATATTGGTAATCTAAATATCTTCGAGTCAAATCTTATTACGAAATTAAAGATGCAAATCGTAGGAATCATTATTAAATGCGATCTACTTAAGCTGAACTTATTCATCATAAAAGTGATTTGCGGTTTGTAGAAGGTTAAGGGTTATACCGTTAAAGACTTCGGTTTGCCTTGATTAAATGCTCATGTCATGCTGACATCACATTATTCCCATGTCATTTCATTAAGATTTCGTCAACACTTTTTCCGCGTGTCATGTTTCAGCTCGTTATTACATATCGATTCGATACGGCTTCTTATGAAAGAACAGTACCATAAGGTTGACAGGGAGTAGTGTCCTCCAATGGACGGACAAAGGAACAATCGGCCGGCTATTCGGTCAGGAAGTTATGTCTGACGGGGCACAGTTTAAGAGGCGACACTTACGAATTGAAGCATCCAAGACTGTCGCAGAGCGACAGACTTTCACCCTCAGTAACATAATCACTCTCAAACTCTTGAGATTATTATTGTTTAATCCTTACAACGCGAAATTGTGTTTTTGCAAACGGGAAGAACAAGATCGTTACTGATTTATACGTAAATCATTTTTGTAACCAAATTAAAATTGCTCGTGAAAGCAGCAAGTTTACTTGAATTTGTTTGAAAAAAATATGTAACTTTTTATATTGTTCTGAAATAACAAAAATTAATTAAAATTAAAGCCCAACATTAATTAATAAGATCGTAAATTTGCATTTTATTATATATTACATTGCTATTATTTCATATATTGTCATGTTTGAGTAAAATGCGACAATAAAAAAGTAATGATACATATAATTACATTATCGAAATGAAAAGTTAAGTAAGACTGGCGCGTCTACAAATTGCTCCATCATGATGTTTCTCGATAAGCCTTCGTCAAGTTCCTTTTCAAATTACTTTACACTTATTTATCACGATTCATCGTTGACTCTTGCAAAATTATGAGCAAGATTCCTGTTTCTTGCGTGTTGCGTGTTTCTTGTTTCTACGTTCGTTGCTTGAAAGCGATGTCACGCGGAATATTCCACCTTTTTTGTATGCTTTTAATGTGGAAAAAATTATAAACTTATGGAATTTAATTATTAATTATGAAATTTTTTTATCTACTCGCATATGAATGCTCTACACATATTAAAATCTACTTAACCATAGATTTTTATTTAAATTAATCGGTTGTATTTAGGCAAACCAGTTCTGTTTTGGTTATCGAACTTGACGATCTGTATTCTCGCGAATACGATTAATGTATTTGTGTTCAACAATCTTATCTGCGCTACTTTGTCTAAATGGTCTTCGCACACGCAAAGCGTCTGTGCCGAACATTACTTATATCTTATTTGTTAATTTTGTTTTTCAATCTCTCGCGCTTTTTCAATCTCTTCTTTTTTCTAAAAGTACATATATTATATCTACGTACAAAGTATGTAGTCAATTCTTTTTATCATTTTTTACATACTAGTTGCTTTATTTAATTAATCGCTCGAAATTACTTTCTTAATTAAAAGATTGCATATTATTGTTTTATAAATATTTCATCTAATTCTTTAATTTTCGTCGGCATAAGCACCCTGAACGACATTGAAAAAATGGAAATCTCGAGAAATTAAAGAGAACCGACGGTCGAGAATACCTGAGAAATCCTCTATCTTTCTCGGTAACCCAACAGCTAAAAGCCACTCTTGGATAGCCTCCCAGATTATTGTTGGAGGACGACGAACATAAGTTTGTCGCGGATTCTTGCATTGAAGTCATTTCGTTGCTCTTTGTGTTCGAACGACTCCCGGCACGACCATCGCGAGGAACATCGAGATAATTGAATTGGGCATTTCTATTCTTTATTTTTGCAGTCTCAGACACCCACCTAAATGGTATAAATTTGCTTAAGTGTTGAATTGATATGCGCCGTGTTTTTGTCAGGGAATTATAAAATTATAAAATATAAAATACCTTTTACTAATTGTAATTTTAGAAAAATATTTTTGATATTTTATCACATTCAACAAATAGCTATCAAACTTTGTAAAATATTTTTTGTTTAATCCAACAGAATTGCAAAAATCTCAAAATAACCTAGATTGTTTTAAATTTGTTTTACAGACACGACATCGATTGCAAAGTGGAGCAACATGGAGCAACGCATCTTGGTGAGTGAAGTCAAATTTATTATATCTATGTACATCTTAGAAAAATTAATTATGGTAAAACGTTATTCTTTGCGCGATTATATTCAAAGCTGTATTTGACGAAATTTATACAGATATATATTGAGAGTTTTAATTAGCGATTTTTATTCAAATCTAATCTGAAATCATACATTTTATGAATGATTAAAAATAGTGCGCGACGTTTCTTAATTAAATTTCGTTTTGACTATATTTTTTCGCTTATTGTAAGCGTGAGTAAGAGTTTTCTAACTCATTAACATAAAATGCACTCACAACGCTACTCATCGTTAGGATCAAGTTGTTTGCGCCGCAGCAATTAGCTTAACCATAACAGTTTGGAATTAATTTTTTCTTAAAAAAGAAATAGATTTTTCTTAATATTATTGTACTATATTTTTATTAACACGTTTTTTTCGATATATTATTATGCTAATATAAAGTTAAAGCTGGTTGATTATACGAAGTTATATATATTAATTTAGTTTATTAAATCGTTAAACATTTTTTTTATTACAAATACACGACTTACTATAATTAATGATTTATATTGAATTTTGCATGATCGTCTCGCTCGGCATTCTTGCGACGCTTTCTTATAGTTTGTTGGTAGTCTTATTCACAAAACAGAACGCTATATTATCTTCTCAATGTCGGCAAGTCGGTAAATTGTGGTTTATCCAGTAAAATTTGTCTTTTCGTGGCAAGATAGATATATTGAATATATTTGGACGCATTTATTATAATCTTATTTTTTATATTTCACAAATCAACTTTGCTATGCGATAATTGTGATCAAATGTCTTTGCGATATATTTTACTATTGAGTACTTTAGTCTTGCAAGAACATTAGTTTTAAAGTTATTAATATATCCGTGATAGGAATTTAATTTAATAAAAAGTATATGTTGTAAAAAAATTAAATTAATTTACAAGTTACGCAACAAAGAATACACGAGCTTGTTTTGAACACATTTTGTGAGAAATCTGTTGATTACTGCGATATCAAAAATTTCCTCAAGTTCCTACATTTTTTACATTTAGCATATTTTGCAATTAATTTAAGAAGTAACATTAGACTTGCAATATATCAAGAAATTTGTTTTTTTTTTGTTTAATCTTTTATCAAAAGCAAAACTGTTTAACGAAGCGAAATAAATATAAAAGGGTGTTATACAAGAAACAATTATTCGGTTATTTATCAGAAATATCGATCGATCGAGAATAGTATGTTTCGACGTAGTAAAGAGAGAAGCAAGTTAGGAAACTCTAATATATATCTTCCGTAAGTGTTTGAGGATTCCGTGGCAACTTTCATCGCGCAAGAAACTCGCTTCTCATATGCTGCGACGCGTGTTCGGGAAATAAGGAATATATGGCGGTAAACAAAAAGTGGGGATAAATTATTAATGGAGGGTGGAAAAACACTTATACTAGTTGTAGAAGATAGGTCAAATGTCAAAGTAGCTCAGCGAGACTCGTAATCTCCGCAAAATTTCAATTTTGTTCTTTTATACGATGTAACCGATTCGTTGGATAAAGCTATCACAAAAAATTAATTCAATTTTGATGTTAAACTAGTAAGAGAAATTAGTTTTGTGAAGAATAATTGGATCTAATGAGACTTTTTGTATTAAATAAGTTCTGCACAATTTTGTATCAACGTTGAATTTTTATTTAACAATTTTTTATTTTTGGCATTATATTTTAAACTGTTATTTGGTTTACTTGTGCTTTTATTCCACATTATTGTAGAGAATTTTGTGTACTATATTTTAATAAATTTTTAACTTGCTAGTAACGTGATAAAATATAGAAAAAAAAATTGTGCGCAAAGCTTTACAGAATTGTATGCAATTTATCATGCCTGAAGTAATTTTTATGAGTAACAATCATAAATTATACATTACGCTGAATTTTAATTTATTATTTAGCCACGCGTACTTTCGACGATAATGCATATCTGCGGCGTTTATCCTTGATTACTGGTTTTACGCTTAATTTCACATAACTGTGGTCTTTAGCTATGGCATGCTGGCTATAACTTTCGGTATGCCAGTAACGAGAGTTTACTTCAGTTTAGTATTGTCCGCTAAATAAGGACTAGAAGCTGAGATAGTTGTCCGACTTTACCCATTAAACCTTGGATGGAAAGCCCGCGTGCGCTGATTTGCCTGAATGAGAGATTTAGTGTCAACTTCTCTTATCTCCAATTGCTTCTCAGCAAATTCTACATCTTCGTGACATATAATTAATAGACATAAATAGATGATTAATGTAGGAACTCAGTATGACAATTATAGTTTCAGTCAAGATTATCTTTATATTATTCTCCGCGCTTTAATTGTTAGGAAAAATGTCTGAAGATGGATTTCTGTCTTAAATAAAAATTAGTTAATCATCTGTAATCTATGGCTCTATTAGCAACATACGAAAATAGAACGTAAACTATTTTAGGATCTAATCTCCCACGATTAAACTCTAGATTAAAGCACTAAATAGTTCGAATAATTAGGAGGGCGGGATACAACTTCGATTACTTTTCTCTACGTATTAAAATAACGCTTGCGCTTGTTTTAAGCGTGTTAACGAAATTGTTCGGAAACTTCGACTCACCGGCTGTGTGCAACGGATGATGGTAGAACTTGATCTTAGCGGGTAGCGCGACGGTAGCCGGAACCGAGAATTGTAGACCTGGTCCCAGGAGATGCATGAGAGTGCCTACGACGGTGATCACCCAACCCCATCCTCCTTCGGGATAATAATGCCGACATAGTAGTCGTCTCGCTTGCACCTGGAAGGGACTGTCGTCGGGTTGGACACTTGCGGTATTGTTTTTCTCTCCGTTGTCGTTGGTTTCCGTCGGGCGACTCTTCTCCTTCAAGGACGAGTCGTCGATGAAAGCGGCACAGCGTTCTTTGCCTACCGCATCTAGCGGCCAGGATCGCGCACGGGATAACGACATTACAGGGGGGGGGGGGGTGAGGGGGCTGTCCTTGCGGCTATGTACCCGTATCGTTGCAGCTCGTGCTGCTCGTGCACACAATGATAATTCCTATCGCACGCATTAGCGCTGCGTGCGAACGCGGCCGCGCGCGTGATATTGAAAACATGCTGCTGCCGATCGCCCTCACAATGGCAGCGTATATTCTTCTCATGCGTTTCCTCCTCGTGATTGCCGCACGCCAACGTTTGCCGACTCGATCACGTACGGGGCGCACCAGTTATGCATTCGATATCGTTTTGCGTATGTTGGGGGGGAAGTATTTTTTGCCTCTTTCTATCAGTAGCTATCGTTTCTGGTTTATGAGTACTAAAAAACGGTTGGATGAGAAGAGCTTAATAATAAATGTTATAATAAATTTATATGAGAGTTAAACGCGAAGGCATTTTGCACTTGATTTATTGCGGAGAAATTTATCGAACAAACGATTTATTAGAAAGCTGTAAGTATTCCGAAGATGATTACAATGTTTCTCAAATATAATTATAAGTTATATTTGTTATAGTCATCTTTAACCTTTTTTTTTATCTTGATGATCATTTATAAATCGTTATTTAGTTTTTTGTTAGTCAATTTCTGCTAACGATCAAGTTTTTGTATCCCGACACGAATTCATTGCCTTCGGTATGAGAATATCGACAGTGACAGGATGATTGAAACGTTTTTAATATCAAGTTCGACGAATCAATGTGTTACGAGCTACATTTAGCAACAAAATCTTCTTTAATATTTCTTTTGTTCACGTGTCAATTCAAGTTTTTGATTGTTATCGAAATGAAGAATAATGGAACACGTTGCGCTGCGGACAATGCTACTGTCGATTTCGGAAGTTTGGGGGTCAAGATTAATAGCGCAGTTTTTGTTCGCGATGTATCCCGCGGTGCTCCGTAAAATATGACTGAGATACTTTCCCCGCGGGTTGTTGCGATGAATTAATTTGGCGAGTCTGCCGAATCAGCTATTATAAATTACCGCGCGTTGCTCCACGTGGGTCTTTGTAACACGAGATCGATCCATCGGTGGCTTCGTTTCCGTTAATGTGCGTGGATGAGGCCGGGCTTTCTAAACGCTCGATTTTAATAAATTTCCAGCAGGGGCTCTCCTCTCATTGTATAGCGCCGCGATTTATTATGTCTATAAACGCATCGCTTGACAGCCTCCGCGCGCACATTTTCGCAACCGTTCTCTAAAAGCTTTCGTCGTTTACCAAATGGAGAACAAATTACCGGGCTAAACTTTTCGGCAAAAACAACGTCGTTTAACGCTTTTTTATGCGCGAGAGACTGCACCCTTTTTTATCTTTCTTTTTACTTCGGGTATCGTAGTAGTTTAATGAACAGGATTATTAAAATGATGAATGAAAGATAGCGTAATTAAATTAGTTATATTGGTGAAATTATAACTTTAAACTTTGCAATATTAGAGATAATTATATTATAAGAAACATGGAGAAATACTAAAAAATAATTAAAAAGTAAAGCAAAAATCAACGAATCAGCGTTTTAATTTACGTTCTCTAGAATATATTTGATATTTACATAATATGTTTTTTTTTTGCATTTTCTAAATTCTGAAGTAAACTACAATTTTTAAAGATCTGTTTAAAACTACTTGGATATTGTTAATAATATCATAATTTGAATTCTATTAAATTGTACTTTTATCTGAATATGTTTTCATGCAAATATTTTTGAAAAAGCAAACAAGACAAATATTTCACGTGGAACAATCTATATTTTTTAGAAACTTTTAGTCACGTGTATTAATATTTAATAGATTATAATATTTAATATTTAAGCGCACTAATTGAAATGATATTATATGTAATATGTCTCATAATAATAAGTCTCATAAGTATTATTTTCATCTGTATATTATTGCGATCGGAGAATATTTGAAAATAACTTTGCTGAGTCAATAGCCAATTGGACGAATATTGTACGCATTGGATAACGCTTAATTGATCGCGTTCAATTCC